AAGCCTGAAGCGGAGAAAATCAGCTGAGTCCGATACTCCGAAGGGAGCTGAGGCAGCACCAGAAGCTGAAAGCAACGATTGCAGAGCGTTCAAAAGGAAGAGGATACGAGTCCCTGCGCTCGCTCCTGGTCTTGTGCCTGCCTGGGAAAGAGAACAGACCAAAGAAGGCTGCGGACCTCGGGCGGTAGCCCTTCTGGTCCTCAGACGGCGTTCCAGGGAAGCGTAAAAGCTTCTTTGGGCACGTGCCCATCAGCTGATGCCGTAAAAGACACGGCTCGTGGTGCATCTGTGCTGATGGACCATGGGCGTGAAGCCAGAGAGCTCAAGAATCATCTGTGGACGCGTAACTGAGGGCTTGGATGAGGCTGTGGGTTGGCCGGCTGCAGTGCAGGAGCGAGGCTCCCCTCTGCGATGTGGTCGGATGACACCAACCACAGCCAGGATCGGCTGCCCGCCGGGCGCGGAGGATTGGCCGAGAAGAGCACCATCGTCGTTGCCGGTCTTGTTTGGAGCCCACGCCCGTGAAAGCGTGGAGCAGAGAGTGTGCGCGCTGACCAAGAGAGGCACAAGCCGGACTAGAGGAGGCCACTGGAGCCATGAGAGGTCCACACTTGAGGGAAATGTCCTGTCGTCTCTTTCTATGGCGTGGTTGTCTTCTCTCTCGGTCCCCAGGAACAGGTTAGGGGTGCACCTCGGGGACCTTCCTGGGAGAAACGCTGTACACCTGTGGGAGGCCTTTCAACGAAACCCCTTGGATTGACTTGAGGTGATTGTTAAGGTTGTTTCATGTTATACAAAGGTGAAATGAACCAGTAAGGAAAACGCGATCGTTTTAAGCCCATTAAGTGTGCGAGTAAGCATTATTGCCATGACTAAGATACGCACCTCATCTTTCCTTCGCTATTTGCAGTCAGCAGGCAAGACTGAGAAGGAGGTGGATTGGAGCAGATACTTTCAAGCCAAAAGGACCCTTCATGTGCACTGACTAGAAATTCTGCGACTATGGAAAAGCAGAGGTGCCAAAGAGGTATGCACAGAGGATCCAGCTAATACAGTTTCAAATGGTGGCTACGATGTGTAAGATAAAGCGATTATCCATTTATCATTTTTTTATGCATTGAGAGAAACTTCCGAATAGGAATTAAGAAGGTGTGTTTATTTATATTGTCTCCCCCCCCCGTTTTTTCAATCCGTCCAGGGCTGTCAAAGGATGTCTCTATGGTTCTGTGTTCGAGCTGCTCACTGGGCGCTCTCTTTGTCACTCTCGCACTGTTGGGCCAGAGTGGTCCCTCCCCGAGGAGGAGCAGCCTTTTGCTGTGGCCAGCTGAGTGCCGAATGAAGGAGGGTAGAGTCGTGCTGCCTCCTGCCTGGGGGAGCCGGCCGCGGGGCGACTGGTACTGCTAGGATGGCGCAGAGGGTGCTTGAGCCCAGGTTCAAACAGGTCTAGACTGCTTCGAATCTCTGGCCTGTGCAGCAGGAAGGCCAGGCAGGGGGAATGCTCGTCGAGGAGATGAGCGTCGGCTCGCTGACCTACTACGGCGAGAGGAAAGTGGCATGCTTAGTTCTCAGAGAGCCCATCTTGCTCCCCAGCCTGCTTTCCCAAGCTTTCTACGGGTGCCAAGAGCTCGAGCGAGCCAACAAAAGAACCTGAGAAGAAAAAGAAGGCAAAGGTGTTGCACCATGAACTGTAAATGGCAAGATGGAATGTGTGGCCTGGATGACTGGTGATTCAAAACTTAGGCTTTATCTCTGGGTGCAAGGTGTTGTTGTCGGTCTTGTGGCAGTGGTTTAGGGTTTCGAAGTTATACCACGCCCTAAAATCCCAAGCTGTGTGCCCTTTTTTTTTTTTTTTTTTTGTACTGATTGATTGCACCACAGACCCAAGATGCCTTCAGTCAGTTAGGCTTGTTAACATTAAGTATCTTGTTTCACATATCAGTGCCGGAGGACGCAGTAACCTGGCTAAGTATGTCTGAGGTGTTTTAGCCTGCAGGTTTAGACTAAAGTAGTAGATAGCCGTACTCCACAAGCTCCACAATTATGCGAAAAATAGATTTCCTCGTTCTATTTCTGTCACGTGTTCTCTTCAGTATTCAGATATACGAAAAACTAGGTACCTTGTTGCCATTGCAGTGCATGGCCGAGTTAGCGGTATCGACATATTAACACATTTCTGACCTGCTAAAATGACCTCTGCCGCTTCAACAGAAGTTGTCCTTGTGTTCTTTACTTTGTAAAGTTAAAAAAAAATTATCTGTCATTCTGGTGCAAGTGTGTGTCGTGCGCAGTGTATAGAAGAGTAATTGTTAAATAGCAATATGGGCCAAGAGTTTATCTAGTTTGATTAAGTGTTATAGAATGATGTCATTTATGAGGTCCTTCCCTGGTAAATCTTTTCGCACTGTTGCATGTGTTGAGGAGAATGCTGTAAATTTGTATTTGTTTTCAGCAGCTGGACTGTAGTAATTAATCGAATATGCTGTGAATCCAAGCCATGTTTTGCAATCTTTTCTAACTCGGCAAGACTGCACCATTGATCCTTTATCCTCTTGTGAAACGAACTTCTAATGTATTGCAGTTTCGATTTGTAACCTCTGTGAACTGTAATTTTTTGAAGGGCAAGTCCTACTTTTGTGTAGCGTCTTATGATCACTATTTTTGGCACTTGTTTTGTACACTTAATAAAAAAGAACATGCTTTGCTCCAGTAATGTAATTGGTTAAAGTTGAAGTGTGCAGGGGTGACTAAAACGGGGTCAGTTTATCTGCACAGTGGGCATTTTCTCCACAGCATGGACACTGTAGTGTGAAGGTGAGCCACCAGATGGCACTCCATCCCATTATTAGTCTGGTAAGAAACATTTTGTGGCGTGTGTGTTTATACATTTAATCCCAGTTAGTGTTTCTGTTTGTGTCAGGATCGGGTTGCAACCACTATGTCATAATACTGGTATTTTCAAACATTGTGGCCACAGACTTGGGATTGCACCATCTTTCCTGATCTACCTAGCAGTTTGCACTTTCATAATCTGGGCAAGCAAAAAATCAGTAAACTTCTTATCAGACAGTTTGCTGCCAAGAAAAGTGAAATACCGTCTTCGAGACATGTAGGTTGTGTACCCTCCATTTGTCTTGACCCATCTAGCGACACCTCGACTCGTTAATGTCTTACCTTATCCTGTTATGGCATTCACAAATGATAAATATTTCTATAATTGCTTTAGTGTTTAGATTAATACGTGATTGAATTCATTATACAGGTTGCTTGGTGCATCGTGATCAGGACGAGGTTGCCACAGCAGTCTACAACAGATACTGCCCCTGCTGTCGTTGGAAGCATACGGTGTTACTGGTTGGTATCTTAAATCTATTTAAATCTAAGATAGTAAGCCTGAACACTTTTTAACTAAACTACGTTAAAGTACAGAAAGCACCAAATAACTCAAATGAAGAGAAGATCTTTAGGAATGAACGATAAAAATTAATGTAACAGGCTACAAGTGCATTTACTCTCCAGTTACATCCTTCACCAACTAAAAATAGTTGCTTCAGGTCCAAGGACAGGTAAAAGAGCCATGAACTGGCTCTACATGTCATGGATCGGTCCGGTTGCGTCTACAGACATCAACTTATTGCCTCATTGGTCTGCTTGCTATAGATAAACGAACAATGTCAACCAATCAACATCAACGGCCTACGTAAGGTTCCCCGTTTTCTCTGTGTTGGTGTGTGTGTGTGTAGCTGTGTGTGTGTGTGTGTCTATGTGAGGGAGACTTTAATGTGAGAAACTAATGATAGACCTTCAGTACTCTAGCGATAACTTGGTTCTGGTTTTGTCTCAATGATCTTTATAAGTAAATTTGAGGAAAGTTCAGGTGCGTTTGATAAAAATGATAACAAAAAGTCAGTGGTGGAATATAGTCAGATCTGTAGTAGCACATTATACAAATACGAAAATGAAAGGTCCTCATCCCAAGAATGCTACTAGTGAAAGTATACAAGCAGAGTGGAAGGAGTGTGAATACTCATTGCAGACAAGCAAGAGAGGTATGTATTTATTTTGTATATTAATGATCATGCAGTGTTAACATTTACTGTTGTAGATGGTCATGAATGAGATATTTTTAACTATATTATACTAACAGACTATCACGACTGTTATAAGTTATATTTATATGCTTACTCGTGTTTTGTATAAAAAAATTCTTTATTTTAAACGTACTTTTCGAGTGAGTAGCTATAGCTGTATATAAAATACTCAAAATGAGTAGTTGAGTACAGTACTTCGAGCTCTAAAAGTATATTTAGTTAATCCCACCCTGCAAGAAGACTGCTGCGTCGGCAAGCACATGTGAAAATTATTTTCATTCAGGTCACATATCAGTATTATGTGACCTGAATGAAAATAATTTTCAATGTGCTGCTGACGCAGCAGTTTTGCAGTGGTGGGATGTAACTAAATACTTTAGAGCTCAAGTACTGTACTCAACTACTCATTTTGAGTATTTTTTTTATATACAGCTATAGCTACTCACTAAAGTTACTTTACAAATAAAGAATTTTTTTATACAAACACGAGTAAGCATATAAATATAACTTATAACAGTCGTGATAGTCTGTTAGTATAATATAGTTAAAAATATCTCATTCATGACCATCTACAACAGTAAATGTTAACACTGCATGATCATTAATATACAAAATAAATACATACCTCTCTTGCTTGTCTGCAATGAGTATTCACACTCTTCTAACATTGCTTGTATACTTTCACTAGTAGCATTTTGGATGCAGGACTTTCACTTTTTCTATTTTTATAATGTGCTACTACAGGATCTGAATATACTTCCACCACTGACTTTTTGTTATCATTTTTATCAAACGCACCTGAACTTTCCTCA